AAAGGCCATCACCTTCCTCCAGAACATTGTCCATCTGTTTCGTGGGATAAAGATAGGCCAAAAGGGAGGTTGGAAGCCTGTTCAAACAGGGGTGATAATGGCAACAACATCAATTTTGGCCATACAAGAGGATATGCTTACACAAGGACACAGGTTTGTGTTAACGTCAAGGTTCACACAAGACTGCCTTGAAAATACATTCAGCTGTGTGAGGTCTAAAAATCCTGTCCCAACTCCAGTGGAATTCCATCATGCACTGAGAATCATATCTGTGGGGCAGTTCCTCACCACCATCAGCTCTGGGAGCTACCAGGAAGACCACCGTAGCTTTTTGGCAGACTTCCTGGACACAGGGGAGCCAAAAATCACTCCATCAGTCAGAGTGGAACAGCTGATGGCGGTGAACAGAGCAGCAGCACCTGACCTCACAAAAACTGAGAAATGTATTCTCTTCCATCTTGCAGGCTACATCGTCCACAAAATCATTTTTTAATGATAAAATTGTTACTCTTAGAAACAAAATTAATGACCTCTTGCCTTTGACCAGTATAGTGTTATCAACAGCTCCCGGAAACGTAAGTTCTAATATTACACTAGATAGTAAACTAGAATGCTTTTCAGCCATAAACCTTGAACAATTAAATTCAATGATTCTCTCTTCTAAATCATCAACGTGTATGTTAGACCCAATTCCAACTAAGCTGTTGAAGGAAGTTTTTCCATTAATTAGCACTTATTTATTAAATATTATGAATATGTCTTTATTATCAGGCTATGTTCCACAATCATTCAAAGTAGCAGTGATAAAACCGCTTCTTAAAAAGCACAACCTCGATCCAGAGGTTTTAGCCAATTATAGACCTATTTCCAATCTTCCGTTCCTCTCAAAGATTCTTGAGAAAGCGGTCGCAAAACAGTTGTGTGATTACTTAAAAAACAATGATTTATTTGAAGATTTTCAGTCTGGCTTTAGAACACATCATAGCACAGAGACAGCTCTGGTTAAAGTCACAAATGACATTCTAATAGCCTCTGACAAGGGACGTGTCTCTATTCTTGTTTTGCTCGATCTCAGTGCTGCATTTGATACTATCGACCATGATATCCTATTGCAAAGACTAGAGCACTTAGTTGGCATACAGGGAACTGCTTTAGACTGATTTAGGTCCTATCTATCTGAACGCTCTCAGTTTGTACGTGTCAACGATGAATCTTCCACGCAAACCAAAGTTAGCCATGGAGTGCCACAGGGCTCAGTGCTCGGACCTATTTTGTTCACATTATATATGCTTCCGTTAGGCAATATTATAAGGAATCATTCTGTACATTTTCATTGTTATGCGGATGATACTCAACTATATTTATCAATCAAGCCTGATGAAATTAATCATCTAAATAAAATTCAAGACTGCCTTAAGGACTTAAAAACGTGGATGACCTTAAACTTTTTGATGTTAAACACGACCAAAACTGAAGTTATTGTACTTGGCCCGAAGAATCTACGAAACAAATTATCTAAGGATATATTAACTATGGATGGCATTAATTTGGCCTCCAGTGAGACTGTAAGGAATCTTGGTGTTATATTTGATCAGGATTTATCCTTTAACGCCCACATAAAATCAATTTCAAGGACCGCCTACTTCCATCTACGTAACATTGCAAAAATCAGGCATATCTTGCCTCAAAACGATGCAGAGAAACTAGTCCATGCATTTGTTACTTCAAGGCTGGATTATTGTAACTCTTTATTATCAGGGTGTACCAAGAAGTCAGTCAAGTCGCTTCAGCTGATTCAAATGCTGCAGCTCGTGTACTAACCAGAGTTAGGAAAAGGGACCACATTACTCCTGTTCTGGCTGCCTTACACTGGCTCCCTATAGAACACAGGATAGAATTTAAAATTCTTCTTCTCGCCTACAAAGCCCTTAATGGGCAGGCACCATCTTACCTTAAAGAACTCATTATACCCTACTGTCCTACTAGGGCATTGCGTTCCAAGAATGCAGGGTTGTTGGTTGTTCCTAGAGTCTCTAAAAGTACAATGGGAGCCAGAGCCTTTTCTTATCAAGCTCCACATTTGTGGAATCAGCTTCCAGTTTGTGTTCGGGCGGAAGACACCTTATCCGTTTTTAAGAGTGCGCTTAAGACCTTCCTTTTTGATAAAGCTTATAGTTAGGGCTGATTAGATTCAGCCCCTAGTTTTGCTGATATAGGCTTAGTTTGTCGGGGGACATCTTACTTCTTCCTTCTCTCTGTCTATACTTGTGTACTCTCATGTTCCGATTAACCCAGCTTCCCCAAATGTCTTTATTTTTGGTGTCTGTATACGCCGGGATCCGGAGTCATGGATGATCCTGCGCTCCTCTGTCCTGGATCTTGAGTCGTGGCTGTGGTCCTGGATCATAGGTCCTGGATGGATATCCTCGTGGATTCATCTTCCTATTATACACACATGCATTTCCAAACATTTGGACTACCTATGTTGCAAATGTATTATCTTTTCAATTTACACACGGCATCTATTGCACGTCTGTCCGTCCTGGGAGAGGGATCCCTCCTCTGTTGCTCTCCCTGAGGTTTCTCCCATTTTTCCCTTTAAACTGTGGGTTTTCTTCGGAAGTTTTTCCTTGTACGATGTGAGGGTCTAAGGACAGAGGGTGTCGTATTGTCATACTGATATTTTGTACAAACTGTAAAGTCCACTGAGACAAATGTAACATTTGTGATATTGGGCTATATAAATAAACATTGATTGATTGATTGATCAAGTTTGCCAGCATCTGTGAAAAATGCAAAATTGCAACAGAGCACCATGATGAGAGTCTTTCTGGTGACAACAGCTTGTTAGTGGACTTGAAAGACTTCAAGGCAGGTGTTCTTTGTCGTCCCTCCCAAGAAGCCTTTGACTTCATTCACCAAATTGAGGAACTATTTAGGACCAAGACTGGTTCCTCCCTCATGCAGCTCCCCAACGCAGTGGGTGTCTTGGAGAAAGAAGCTCAGGCCCTCTCCAGCAGGCTTTCGTCATGCTGTGGAGTACAACAAAAACTCGTAAAAAGATTCATACGGCTGAGGCTGAGAATTGAGGCCAAACAAATCAGAAATGACAGAAACAAAATAAAATTAAAAGATGGCCATTTTGGAAGCAAGAGCCAATCCAAAAAGGTGAAAAGGAACAACAGCAGCCAAGCTACCACATCCAGCAACCCCCAAACAGATCCACAGCTGCAATCATTTCCATTAGCCGTTGCAATGGAAATATTTGGACTAAACATTGCTCTTCCACCTGCCAGCACCCAGCTAACATCACTGCCCCTCCACCCGTAACATCACTGCCCCTCCACCTGCCAACATCACTGCCCTCCACCTGCCAGCACCCAGCCAGAGGAGCGCAAACAACATAAACAAGCAAGGTGTCCCGTCATGTACCTGGAAGTTTGGGTTGGCAAAATGGAGTAAGAGAGCGAAAACCTTGGTGGCTCTCTACTCATGTTGTTACAGTTGTCTTGGTTACAGCTCTCAAGTTTTTTTTTTGTTGCCATTTCCACATCTTTAGAAAATATGAAATCAACCTCTTCTCTGGAGAACAAACTTTGATTTCTCTGTCTTGTGAGTTTGCAGTCTTGTAGTTTTGCTCCTCCACCTGTAACATCACTGCCCCTCCACCTGCCATACAGTAGGTTACTAACAAGATTACTTATATAATACAGTGATAGAATACATGTTTAGTATGCTTACTTATATAAAACAGTAGTATTAAACTTACCTTGTATTTTCACTCTCACTTAAGTCCCTCTCCCTTTGCCATCAATCCAAAATCAGCTGAGCTGCAACATTATACAGACAGGTAATAATCAACATAATCACAAGGACACAATGTTAAAAACTGCTAAAAACACTCACTCTTACACGCACCAAAGTTATATTTATCTAATATTTAACTCCCTCCACCCCCGCATACAATCCCGTTAGAAGCCCCTCTTCTCTAATTCAACAACGTTGGACGAAATGACATTAAGAGAACGGAATTTACAATTAAAAGGCTGTTCAACGTCTGTTGCTAACTTGCTTCAGTATCCTAGCTTAATCTGTTATCTGTAAACGTTCCCTAAATCTACTAATTTAGGGATAATCCACTGACATCCTTTAATACACATGTTAATTTGAATCAGATGTACTGATAATATCCGCAATATACATCTTTAAACTTCTTCTTACCTTTAAAAGTCCGTCACGAACGGTCTATTATGCTGCAACTCTACAGCTCTGCTAGCCTTGGCGCTAACTTCCGGGGAACGATTGAGAGGCTCCACGATCCGCCATTGCTGTAAAAAAGTGGTCCATTGGAGTGAACGGAGATGTCGTAACTCTTCTATTATATGGCTCTGGGATTACCTAGACAGATAATATATGTATGTTTTATAATATTTTACAGCAGAGTGAAATACCCCTGACTCTTTTATTTGTTCTAATTGTATATCATATCCCCGGTATACTGAATATGTATTGTGTTATTCTGTTAATAATAAAAATGAGATGGAATGGATGATTGATTGGTTTGTCTGGTCTATTGGTCAGTGACATTATGAGTTTATAATGATGATTTCTAAAAACTTCAAAAAATAAATGTTTAATTAAAGAGCAACCGTACATTTATTTTGGTTCAGTGTTTATCGTAGTAAACAGATGTGTGCTGCATTCAAGTGACCGACGTAAGTTCCAATATCCAGCGTTCTGTAGCCGTTAAAAACGACCTGACACTTTAGGCTATTCAAGTTATATATCTGCGGTTATAAATATAAAAATACATTGAAGTTGATGTTGTTAAATTACATGTATACGTTTTAAACTCATGTAATGTAAACATAATAATACAGCGTTACATGACTTTTGAAGGAAAAACATAGAGAATAAAAAACGCTTGCTGTCGTGTGGGTTCTTAATTTACCGTTTTCTTTGCACAGCAAGTGAAGTGAACACGCATTAGACACGTGACTACCGGACCACTTCCACCACAACATGGAGGAGGAACCCTGCAGACTGTCAACAACATTGCAACAGAGCTGACAGTAAGCAAACATCGAGCAAACCCTGAAGCTACACAACATCATCGCTGACCTGTCCTGCAGACAGGCCGTTTCAATGCATCACAGAGGACCGAAAACACCGCGGCGATCATGGATGTTTCCGATCTGTTTAGTAGTTGCAAAAAGGGCGACATTTTTAGAGTCAGGTAAACAACGGCTCAGCTGACGTTTTTGGCTTGGATGTCTTTGGTTGAGTGTTATGACTGCATTCGTATTTTGTTTTCCTAATTTCTGTCTTACAAAACATGTCTTATGTATTTGGCCTGCACTGCACGTTTTGCAGGTAAACTCTAAGCTAACTGCGTTATTGCAAGGTAGACATTGAGGGAAACACGGAAGGGTTGCTAACTTTAGCTCTTTATGACCCAGCTGGTAACTTTAGCTGTCGTTGATGTTTGTAAACCACTAGTATAGTTTGTTGATACAGCGTAGTTAAGATACTATCTGTCAGTGTTGGATGGCCTATTTACCAGACATGAATTAATGCTGTCCAGCACCACACCTTAAATCATTTAACATACAAATACAAATAATGCTGATTTAAAAGCAATTTAATGCATAACCATATTTTAACTTAAACTACTAGTGGCTACTTCTCTTTTTCAAACTCTATTTCCAACAGAAAAAAACTCTTCTTTCAATTTTTTTTGTACAGATACAATGAACTAAATACCAACAAAATGTTGAGACTGAAGTCCCAAAAACAAACTATCTGAGATCACTGTACATCTCTCTGCCTGCTGCTAATAAGCTCCTAATTGGCCATATTTAAAAGCTGCACCATGTAACAACACCTTTATATACCTGTTAACAGCAAGATCTTTGATATTCTATCGAATCAGAGCCACAGATAATTTAAACAGCCCCTCCTTATTTGGTGGCGTCTTTGTTTGTTTTTTTACAGACAAACTGACTGCAATTACCTGCTAATTATCAGTACAATACCTAGCTTAACTATCGAGATTTCCAAACTTGTTGCAACAAGGCGACAAACCAGCATAGAATAAAAAATGAAAATCAAAGTGGTCATCAGAAAATGCAGCTTTATACCAAATAAACCTTATGTTTTTAAATGTATGCAGCCATGTGAACAGTGCCTCTCACCCATTTTCCACCTTGCATTTTGCTCCAGTGTGATGCGCCCTTTTGATTTTCTCTCAAAATGTTTGACATTACATACATTGTAGTCAGATTCTGGTTCGTCACTGTTAACACTTATTTATTCTCTCTTTCAGATACCTTGTTGAACAAAGAGATGTGGACCTCAATGTGAGAGATAACTGGGACAGCAGCCCTTTGTAAGTACAATTTAAGGAGGTAGTATAATTCTCTAGATAACACACGATCATTAAACCTCCAACTTAAAATGTGAACACTTTGCTCTCCAGGTATTATGCTTGTCTCTGTGGCCATGATGAGCTCGTCCAGTACCTGTTGGCTAGTGGTACGTGTGATTATGTAATGCAAACACAATAAAAGCATAAAAACGATATAGTGTGATGTCAGCATTATAAATCACACTGAAATAAATGTTCTGTAGTCTAATCAGTTATATTATTTTTTGCTTTGCGTTCAGGTGCTAGGTGTGAGGCCAACACGTTTGATGGCGAGAGGTGTTTGTACTGCTGTCTGAATGACTCTGTTCGACGCCTGCTCAAAGACTATAAGTGCATCACTGTGCGCGCCATGCAGCGGGATGATTATAACTACTTCCTGCACATGTAAGTTTGCCATTCATTTAAAATAAATATATTCTCGAGTTAAAAGAAACAAGAAGAATGAACTGCAAAAGCAAAGTACCTTTAAATTTTGTCTTGAATCTATGGCTCCCACAGGATTGTTGACATCCACCTGGATTCATCTACTAATTTATAGACACATGCATTTTCAAGCATTTGGACTACCTGTGTCGTAAATGTATTATCTTTTCAATTTACACAAGACATCTATTGCACGTCTGTCCGTCCTGGGAGAGTGATCCCTCCTCTGTTGCTCTCCCGGAGGTTTCTTCCATTTTTCCCCATTAACTTTTGAGTTTCTTTAGAAGTTTGTTCTTGCCCGATGTGAGGGTCCAAGGACAGAGGGTGTCATATTCTGTACAAACTGTAAAGTCCACTAAGACAAATGTTAAATGTGTGATATTGGGCTATATAAATAAACATTGATTGATTGATAAATATTTGTGCTTTTGCTTTCCAGGTTACTGGAGCAGGGTTTACAGAGCGATGTCAAGTTCCTGGTTCATGGACAAATATTTACAGCCCACCGATGTGTTCTCAGTGCACGCTCAGAGTACTTCACTGATATGTTTGAGACCAAATGGAAAGGGAAGAACCTGATCACACTCAAACACCCGTTGGTAGGTAGAATGATGTATTCTGTCTGATTCAATTAGATGTTTGCTGCTAATATACAAACTGCAGGCATATCTTGTGTATCTACATCTGTATGGTTTGATTTCAGGTGAACCCTGCTGCCTTTGGAGCCATCCTGCAGTATTCCTACACTGGTGAGCTGACAATATTTTTCCTTCTACATTATATTATACGATGCGATACGATAATACTTTATTGGTCAGATCAAGTCTGAAATTTGACTTGTATCACAGCAGCTCCATGTCCAACACCAACATAGACACATATCCAGACACAATACATGAAACACAAACAACGAACATTTAACATAACATCACAATTACTGAGAGAAAACATTTTCATTGGTCACAGTATTAAGACTTAGCAAGAAACTTTAGTCCGTCTGTTAGTTACAAGTATAATTCTGAAATATTAGAGAGAGAGAAATAATACTTTACCTTCATGATGAATACAAAAAACTATATTTTCCATACATTTAGTTTTTAATAGATTATTATTGTAACATGTAATTTGAACCTCATAAGAAATAAGATTAAATTCAAGGTACCTTTCAATTATACTGTATTATGTTATGTCTGCATTATGACAATATTCAGGGGCCTATATGAACATGGAAAAAATGTCCTACTGTAATTCTTCCAATAATGATTTTAATGTAAGTGATGAGGGAAAAGGAACACAGTCCTTCATAGAGAAGGAAAAATAAGCACTTTAAAGTCCAATATCATTAGAAATGTGAATACAGTCATGTTTACATACAAACTGCCATGCTTATACTGGTCTACTTTATGTGTAGTCATGTCAAGCAGAACAATTGAAAAGTTAGGGAGTCAAAATCTTTTCGTTCATCCTCTTTCCTTATGTTACAGGACGAATGGATATCGATATAAGCCTCGTGGAGGACTGCACACGACTAGCTAAACAGTGTAAAATGGAAGACTTTATCGAGGAAATGGAGAATAAATGCAAACAGTTGTATGAATTTGGTAAGAAAGCTCTCTTGGTTCAGGTTCCTACCAAAGGTTTGACTTTTTCACTCTTTAGTTATGTGACGTCTGACCTGTCTTTTTGTCTTTCCTCACTGCAGTGTTCAACAAGCCAGGAATCTGTGTTAAGGTTCTCAGCCTGGAGCCTCACATCTCTCAACTTCAAGAGGAGATGGCTCAGTTAGCTGACTGTGCACTTCCCACTGATCTAAGAGTAAGGATACTTACTTAAAATCATATTTTAATGGGATAAAGGATCGGAGTAATCGGACCTCTGGATATGAAGTTATCAGAGAATAGAGCTAAGTTAGCACCCTGTGTCCCCCAAACAGCGTCAGGTAATAATAATAATAATAATAATAATGGGTTTAATTTATAAAGCACTTCATATTTGACTTCAAATCCCGAAGTGCTACAAGCAGTGAGCATAATAATAATAATCAGATAATGAACAAAGGGCAAGAGCACGTTTACTGATATAGCACCTTTCAACACATGGCAATTCCAAGTGCTTTACAAAAATGAAATACATTAAGAGCATTAAGAAATAGTGCAGCGGAAACAAACATGTTACAAAAAAGGCATTTAAAAAGCAAAGAGAATAAAATAAACATAAAACAAGCTAATTGATCAAATACAAGAATAACAGTTACAGTGCAGTGTAAGGTAGGAATAGCTGCGGGAAAAAATAAAAGTCTTCAGCCTGGTTTTAAAGAAGTAAGAGTTGCAGCGGACCTGCATGTTTCTGGTAGCTTGTTCCAAATATTTGGGGCATAACAAAATTCCCATGATCCAATGCTACCTCGTGCCGTCTTTTGTTATTGTTTTGATTGAGAGACCCCTACTTAGAGGCAGGAAATTACATAATGTGAGTTTAATAAGACTATTTTGACTTGTCTTTATCCTGTTGAATCTCTTGCCCAGGTTGGATTTGGTGAACTTCCCTTTAACGGAGTCGACCGCTTCCCTACCTATCCTGACATCTGCTTCAGAGTCGATGGTTTTGACTTTCTATGTCATAAGGTACAACAACAAAGCTCACACAACATTCCTGAGGTATTTTACAAAACGCTTGTCATTCAAATGAATATTAAAGTTTTTATTGTGTGTGTCTCCAGGCGTTTTTCTGCGGACGTAGTGATTATTTTAAAGCCTTGCTGGAGGACCACTTCAGTGAGGGAGGGCAGCTGCAGTCCCAGCCCAGCACTCCAGTGATTACTTTACACAATATTTCCCATGAAATATTCATCCACGTCATGTATTACATCTACACTGATAACACAGAGGTTAGTGCACAATTTAAGTCTGATATCATTTTGTGGAATTCATTATCAAGGATGCAAACTTATAATTCAGTGAGAAAAATTGCTTGTGAGTGCACCAGACAAGGAGTCATAACAACAGACAAGCAAACAAAGGCATCACCTCCAGTTCATGGCTAACAAACTACCTACTGTTAGGTATAAGGCTTTAAAGAAAACAAAGTGTGTGTGCATATAGGTGTGTCATAAATTATAGTTTAACTATATATTGTTTAATTATCGCTACATTATTTGATAGCAATACTAACTATTTTAAGAGCTCTTTTTGCTGTATTTCATATTCAATCCGTACTTTATTTTACACTTTAAAACTTTAAACATCTAACCATTTTTATATTAACAATGGATCACATGAATACCCACTAAACAGTATGACAAGACTCTGAATGCTAATGCAGCTCCATGTCTGCTGGATGTATAACTAGGCAACTGAATGCTAACAGGTGGTTAAATGTTATGTTTACAGTTGTTTCCACGGTTAATGTTTAAAAATTGACTGATTATCTTTTATGTCCAGTTAATTACAGAGGATGTTTTTGATGTGCTGTGCGTGGCCGACATGTACCTGCTGCCGGGGCTGAAGCGTCTTTGTGGGAAGACTCTTGCTAAGACTATTTGTGAGGACAACGTTCTGTACATGTGGAAGATGGCAAAGCTCTTCCGTCTCTCTCGGCTTGAAGATCAGTGCACCGAGTTCATGGCCAAAATCATTGAGCGGGTAGGTGTCTATTTCCCCATGTTGAGACTGGAAAGGGCTTTATTTTGGCTCGATAACAACAGTGTCTGTGATGTCACAGCGGGTGGCTCAAGGGCAAACAACACTACATGTCTTTATGTTGAATATGAAACTGGAGCCAGCAGGTGTTTAGATTAGTTTAGCATGAAGACTGAAGACTGAAGGCGGGGACAAAAGTAACCGCTCCTGGCAAAGAATAGTTTGGCACCTAACTAACCATAAAACCAAATTTGGTTATTTTTACATTTTGGGTACAGTTTAAACAAACAAGATTAAATATCTACATTAGTGAGCTTTAGAGGGGCTAGTAAGCAGCTTTTTCTCACCTTTGGACCGCGCATGCTAGTTGTTTCCAATTGTTTCCAGTCTTTATACTAAGCTAACCTTGTTCTAGCTTTTGCCTTATACTAAGCAAACAGACATGAGAGTTCTGTCGACCTTCTCATCCAACTCTTAGCAAATACCAATTGGGAGAATTTCCAATTATGCTGAAGTATATCTTTGAATTGCTCCCATAAAGTTAACTAGCTTCTGAAGGACAGCAACAAGTAATGTTATATGGTTTCAGAGGAGTGTCTCTCTACGGCAGTGGTTCTCAAACTTTTTCTGTCAGGCCCCCCCTTTGGAGAAAAAAAAAAGTCGGGCCCCCCCCCAACACAAATAGTCAGGCTCAGTGGCGGCGCCAAAGATTTATTTTGGGGGTACTGTGGGGTAGCTTGACGTTTCATACAGGTTGCTCAAACATTTAGGGTTTCCCATTAATGTACCGGGCACTACAGTGGAATGTTCTACTGCAACACTCCCCACGCAAATACACAGTGTACCCGCAACTGTTACAATGAAGGCTCGATATCAGCTCACGGCATATAGGTGTAAGCAGGGGTAAAGTGCTATTTTTATAGGTGGTGTGTGGACCTCACATAGGGGGGTCCGGGGGCAAGCTCCCCCGGGAAGATTTATTTTTAAATATTGAAGTTAAAAGCATCAATCTGGTGCACTTTGAGAGCAAAATGAAGAGATCTACAGTATGGATACATCTCTCAACACAGAACTGTAAACAGATTTACTATTTCTTTATGGATATTTTACAAATCACTCCCCTTTTAAACGTTATACATTTTTTAATGTCATATAGTATTTCATAATTGTTTTTAATTTATTTATATTAATGGTGACCAAAACGTTTGAGACCCACTGAGATAACACTGAGAGAGTCCTTTAGCTCACTGAGTCTCTCAGTCTGACAGGAGTGGACTCTCCTCCACTTTGTTGTTGAAAAAACTCCTTATATCCGTTAGCGTAGCTCGCTAGCACCAGAAGCTAACATCAACGATCTCCGGTACCGGTGCGCTCTCTCTCTCGCTCGCGCACACACACAAAATGGCTCGTTCCACACACACACAGAGCCGAGCTTTAATGAAACACAGACACCCAGACGTAATAGTACTGTACTGTATCATATTATTTTCAAATCAATACTTTTTCAAAATATGATTTAAAAAAAAAAAAACATTTACATTTTTTTTTTAAATAACCATTTTTTCTCCTGGTCTCTCGCGCCCCCCCTGTCATGCCTCTGCGCCCCCCTGGGGGGGCGCGCCCCCCACTTTGAGAACCACTGCTCTACGGTGACCTTTGGCATAAGGATGTTTATAGATATACAAGGGACATGGGCGTTTTGACCATTCACAAACAATTGATACCTGCAAGCTAAAGTGGATGTTCTGGATGTTCTGGTCAGCCAGGCTCAGTCCCCCCCCCCCCTCATAATGCATTCATACCTGTCTTACCTATGACCTTTCCCAGCTGGTGGAGCAGGACGAGTTTGCAGAGCTCATCAAAGAGGATGCTGCGTCGTTGGAGGAGCGACAAGAGACCGACTCCATCCCCGTTGTGGACGAAATCCGTTTCCACATCACCAGCAATGTGCAGACTTACAGCGCAATCGAGGAGGCCAATCAGAAACTGGAAGCCTTGGAGGAGCTGCTTACCAGCATCAATATTGAATGTTGAGATGTTCTAGTTTGTGGCTGCCGCAGAGCTGGAAGTTTGGTTTTTTGCAAGGTGGATACTTTGCATATGGTGGTGCAAACATCTGTAGAAAGAAAGATCTCTTTGAGTTTTTAAGTTTCATTTTATTTACAGTATATTGAACAGAATATATATTTTCAAAGGATGTTTTGCTGCGTATTCAGCTATAGCTAAAATTATTCATTGAGTGAGATATATCAAAAGATACAGTACTTGGTGTAAAGTAGCAAGTTCTGCAAGATAAGTTTTGTGTACAATATATTTACACACAAATATCTTTCAATTACCAATGCATGGATTCAGAAGGTGCTACAATTTAGATGAGATGGTTATTTTAGTTATTTTAAAATGTACTTTGACCCCAGCAAAGTTCAGAGCCAGCACTTATGAAGAACTTTATGAAATGTTATGTTTGTTCACTTCATACATCCAGAAATGTTTTTAAACTCTCAATCTTCATTTTAAGTTGAAAATATAGTGGTATGATGTATTTCACGTGCTAAAGAATGACAACTTTTATTTTGAATTTCACAGCACTATTCAACTAGTAACAATACTCCAGTGTGACACTTATTCCTACATTTATTGCCCATATTCCTGCACTTTGTTTAAGCCTTAATTTGAAAGAAAATTCCCCCTGCTGCTTGTATGACAGCAAGCCTCCCTCTCCCAGTGTGTGCTCAAGAAAGACATTCTGAAGCTAAACTGTTTGCATGTAAAATCCACCATCAGCATAGAGAGGTTTTAAGGGTTTGTTTAAAAAAAATCGTAATATCCACTACTAAGTCACTATGCTTTTATATAAAATGGATAAATAACTGCTCTTGGGTTTGGCAATTAAAGGTAGCATTGCAGAAACCAGTAGTGTTGTATTCTTTTGTAATTTTTTAAGTGTGCCATCTGGGTCCAATTGTACTCCACATAGGACATTCTGGGCTTTTCAAACATATGACGTGGGGGTGTGGCTTTGAAAAAGATAATAGGCTTGTTTGAGACAAGCGTACGGTGGCTTCTCAGCCACCGTACAAGCGAGACCTGCGCAGACCTGCGCAATTTCGATCAGTAGGCTTGTTTGAGACGCGTTGCGGCTCGCCTCGAAAGTAGACGAGAATAGCCGATCGCAGCCGGGGGAGGTCTCAAAAAGCTCGCCTGAAGTCGGACAGCTCGGAGTCGGCTTCGTCTTCTTCTTCTCTCCGTTTTTTGGCGGATTGCAAACAACTTGAAGGTGCATACCGCCACCTCCGGAGTCGGCTTGACTCGGTTTGCATTTATAAAGAATGCACACGTGTTTAATCGTTAATGTCAGATATGTACTAAGTAAATACATTTGTTCCTGCTCAAGATTAGATTCAACTTTATTGTTATTGCACATATTACAGGTACTGAGACAACGAAATACAGTTTAGCTTCTAACCAGGTGCAACAAGCAGTAAAGTGAAAAGTAATGTACACAATAGACAGAATAAAATATAGAATGAATTGAATGATGAATAAACAGTGAGGGGTATGAATACACTAGATATCAGCCTGTGAGCAGTATGAACAGTGTGTATGAATATGCTAAGATATATAAAGTATGAAAACGGTAAGCAGTATAGTATAAAATATATAGATATTAATTTCATGATGATAAACATTGTGGAACAATGATGAAAAATGGGAATGGATGTGGCGACGTAAAACTGACACAAAACAACAACAAACTTTTGCCAGCCAATTGGAGAGTTTCATCAGCAGCACGTGGTAAAAACCACCAATGAGCGCTCAGCTCGAGATACCAGCAAGCCGTTTCCCATCAAGCATTTCACTTCCGCAGCCCGTGGAGAGCAACTGCGCCAACTCGCCTCGCCTCGCTCTCAAGGCTGCGGGCGTCTTTGTCCCGCGAAATTTCAAAGTCTCATGTGGGCGGGCCTCCAGAACAAGTCGGACAAAATGACTAACCATCATGCAACGCACTAGCAAGACGTTGATCGCAACTGCACAGGTCTGCGCAGGTCTTGCTTGTCTCAAACAAGCCTAACGTCTTGCTAGTGCGTTGCATGATGGTTAGTCATTTTGTCCGACTTGCTCTGGAGGCTCGCCTACATGAGACGTTGAAATCTCGCGAAACAAAGACGCCCACAGCCTTGAGAGCGAGGCGCGGCGAGGCGGCGCAGTTCCTCTCCACGGGCTGCGGAAGCGAAATGCTTGATGGGAAACGACTCGCTGGTATCTCGAGCTGAGCGCTCATTGGTGGTTTTTACCCCGTGCTGCTGATGAAACTCTCCAATTGGCTCGGCAAAAGTTTGTTGTTGTTTTGTGTCAGTTTAATTGTTCATAATTGTTCCACAATGTTTATCATCATGAAATTAATATCTATATATGTTATACTATACTTGCACTGCTTACCGTTTTCATACTTTATATATCTTAGCATATTCATACACACTGTTCATACTGCTCACAGGCTGATATCTAGTGTATTCATACTCCTCACTGTTTATTCATCATTCAATTCATTCTATATTTTATTCTGTAGATTGTGTACATTACTTTTCACTTCACTGCTTGTTGCACTCCTGGTTAGAAGCTAAACTGCATGTTGTTGTCTCAGTACCTGTAATATGTGCAATAACAATAAAGTTTAATCTAATCTTGAGCAGGAACAAATGTATTTACTTAGTACATATCTGACATTAACGATTAAACACATGTGTGCATTCTTTATAAATGCAAACCGAGTCAAGCCGACTCCGGAGGTGGCGGTATGCACCTTAAAGTTGTTTGCAATCCGCCAAAAAACCGAGAGAAGACGAAGCCGACTCCAAGCTGTCCGACTTCAGGCGAGCTTTTTGAGACCTCCCCCGGCTGCGATCGGCTATTCTCGTCTACTTTCGAGGCGAGCCGCAACGCTTCATTGTATTTCAAAATGGCGTCCATCAACACAAGCACTATTTATAGAAAGAGAAATGGTAAGTTTGTAATTACCAGTGTTGTGAGTTCAATATTTTTTATTAATTATAGTAAGGGAACATCTTAGGAGTTAGTGTAGTGAGTTTTCAGAGCAGTGTAATACTTATTTTACCTAAAACGAAATGTGTTTATGAATGTCCTCTGAGGAGGACATGGGGATTTGCTAACTCCCCCCCCCCCCCATTTTACACAACACAAATGGAGTCCACTATGGGCCAAAACTAACACTTAGGTTTCTGTAGGGTTCATGGCAGATTGATGCAGTGGAAAAACATACATCAAGTGCCTCAAGTGTCAGATGTATCTGCATTTCAAAAAAGGATGGAGTACTACAAATGAGGGCTCAATATTTGTTGCATTGAGTTGATAATAATAATAATAAATGGAATGTATAAAGCGCCTTTCACTGGACCCAAGGTACATGGTGGACAGCCAAAAACAAAACAGACAATGAGGAGCGAACAAAACAAGGAAAAAATAAAATAAAGGAAGCCATGATGTGCTCTAATGTTGTCTAAATGTACTTGTATGTTAATGTTGTTTGTATACTATGTTTCGCATAACTAACACCCAATGTCCTCTACAAAGGACACACAAAATGAATGGGTGGGTCTCTGGAGAATATATCATTAATCACTTTTTTATATATTGTAAGTCTGTAGGTCCTTCTAATACTTTGGAAATAATTGACATAAAATGTTTAACGGAGAGTCATGCCTCTAACTGGATGATCACTTTATTTAGCGCCATCATGTGGTTAAAATGTAATGTTGTCAAACACTTTGGTTTATTGCTCAATGGAACTAATGACTTCAACTGGCATTAGTTTACACCTCAGCTGCACTGGTTACACTATATTTTATTACCCTCTATTTAGCGATAATGCTATATTTAAATGTCATACATTACAGCCAAATGTAGTTAAGCAGATAGGGCAACAGTGTTTAAATACACAATATGTGTACATTACATTTTTACATTACATTACATTGCATTTAGCTGACGCTTTTATCCAAAGCGACTTACAATAAGTACATTCGACCAGGAAGACACCACCTTGAAGAAAACAGAATCATATAAGTACATCAGGTTTCATAGAGCCAAACATTTCAAGTGCTACTCAACTGGCTTTAGATAAGCCAGTCCTTTATTAGTATATAAGTGCTTTGTTAATAATTCTATCGCTCCGGTCTGTACTGTACCTCCTATGAACACATTTTACAAGACTTTTGTACAATATTGCCAATCATTGCTCATTGTTATTTACACACCAACCTTTACTTTTGGGTGACCACTGAATGAGGTAATTGTTGGGTTCAGAATTCCAGAAAAGACAGACAACTTCTAAGTTTAACTATTTATTGTAAAGAGAGCAAAATATATATTCACTTGGCCAAGGACTCGTCACGTCTCGGAAATCACAGCTAGCAAAACTATAATCTGTAACCACCGAATTCGTAAAGAGCCCCGAACCTCGTGTGACAATACATTTTATTACACGGGGCGTTGCCCGTACATTTATGATTGGTCAAGACTAGCTGAAGAGATACCGCGGTTTAGACTTGGTTCTCTTTGGTTGGTGCACAGTCTCAGATAGAGTCTCTTGGCAACACGATCCTCCAATCATCATTCGGCCGGCTGGCGAGGTCCCTCCCTACTCTGTCTCTAACACACATCATTTGTTTTCTCTAACGTTTCTTCAGATATAGCGGAAAACCATAATGGTGCTTCCTAGCTCTGCGGGGGAGCGCGGCTCCCATACAGAGTCAAGGCCGGTGCGATGTGCTGTTCTGACTACCTCTTTGTATTCTCTCAGTCTCTGCACCTGACCTTGCTACTTTCAATATTGCAAGCTAAACACTTTCTCATGTAACTTTTCCCTACGTTCCTGTCCACCCCATCAAAACTTGGGGGGAGGGGGGGTCCATTTATTCCAAAGTCACAGCACATACAATGAGCACAATAAGCAAATAATGTAATAGTAAGAATCTCGTAATGTTATATAAAAATAGACTCCACATAATGCTGAAAAATACTATACATTACAACCACATTGTAGTGTGTTGAATGTTAACATGCTCAAATATAATGGAGAACACAGGGAAACCACACACATGCTTACCATCCATGTTAGCTTACTGGTGTTAGCATTTAGCTCAAAGTTTACAAAGCTGTTAGCATGGTTAAATAGACTTTATATTTGATATTCAGGGCTTTAACATAGCAACAAACACCAATTTGTAATGAAAATGTATAACGTTAGTGGATAAATGTCTACCTTCGTTTACGCAGCTTTTTTTAGGCCACTCCAGTTTTTCCAAAGTTAAACACTTAGCTCTGTAGTCCACAGTTCAGCCATTGTTATGGTGAAAAAAACAGGTGTTGAATCTATGAATGTATATTTTAATATCAAGTTTAGGAAGGCACCTACAGATGGCACCATTTCTCATCTTATCATCCTTGAGGTTGTTAGAGAATACAGAAATACAGTGCTGCCAATATTTGAGTTCAGCTTGGAGTGAGATTTTTTTTTTGGTGAACCGAAAAAAGAAACGTTCATGTGTACAGTGTTACAAATGTATTGAACATGTACAAACTAGAGTTTCCCATTAATGTACCGGGCGCTACAGTGGAATACGCACATACACAGTGTACCCGAGACTGCAATGAAGGCTCGATAATCAGCTCACAGCATATAAAATGGCATATATGTGTAAGCAGAGGTAAAGTGCTATTTTATAAGTGGTGGGGGGGGGGTCCTCACCTCCTCTAGGGGGGTCCGGGGGCATGCTCCCCCAGGAAGATTTTTTTGTTTTAATATTGAAGTTAAATGCATCAACCTGGTGCATTTTGAGAGCAACATTAAGAGATCTATGGATACATCTTTCAACACCCATATGAAACAGAAC